CCTGGGGGTGTGTGGAGTTACAGAACAAGATCAAGTCTAGATCCCCACCCCGTGGGCACTCAGGGGTTTCAGAGTACAAAAGCCAAACCCCAAAAAGCCAACACCAGTAAAAGCATTGCCCCTAACTAAGGAATTTCTATGCTCCACACCAGCCCCTGACCTCATTTTCTTTGGTTTTTCATAGAATTTCAGAGTTGGAAAGAACATTATCTGATACAACTATGTTCCAGGACAACAACAAAACTGGATCATTCACTGAAATATCTTGTAGAGAGATTGGCCTTGTCCGTACCTGTTGGGGAGGGGAATGGGGGATGGATACATGTGCATCTATGACCACAAATAACTGTACCACTGCAGCCGACAATTCTATCATCTCTGCCTAAGTCCCAATGTAATTGCTATCCCCTAGCTCTCCCCCACCTCAAACCTCCGGCCTCCACCATCTATAAAAGATGACCTCACTTCCCATGTTACTAAGAAAATCCAGCCCTACTCTATCCTTCTTTGCTCAGGCCCCTCTCCAAGTTCTCCTCTCCCCCAGGCTCGTGTTATGAAAAAACATTCAAAGGTCCTTCGTAACATAACCTCAGCCCCAGCTTTGCAACCTCAGCTCCGCTACCCACCAGCTTGGACCTCATATACTAGCCAACAAGACAATTCACCATGCACTCTCCAAGATTTATGCTTTATTTGGCCCATCTCGTTCATCAGTAATCCCCACCTCCAACCTCCACCTGCACCTCCACCCATTTGTGAGAGCCTGGGTCATATGCCACCTGCTTAAGAAAGTGTCCATCCACCCAAATGTAATCTCTCTTTCTCTCTCTCTCAAACCCCGAAGGCACTCACATGGCCAGGTATTACAGTGATGAGTCTACCTCCTAATGACCCCAGACAACAGGGACCAAAATGAGGTCTTACTCATTTTGGCTGCAGCCACAGCTTCCAGCTCTGCCTTTTTCACTAAATACTTAGACGACAGAGAGAGAAGAAATGGGAAAATGAAGGAAAAGTGTTGAACCACAGAACTGCATGCTGTTAGAAGCTGCAGGGGGCCTCAGAGGGCTCCTACACCAAACAAGGAAGCTGTAAGGATGGGTTGGTGGTCAGCGTGAAAAACCCTGCCAGGTCCTCCAGCACAGAGCCAAGAGCTCCTGGGGCCCAAGTGGTCAACAGCCTCATGGCTTAGGCCTGGGTATGCCCCATTCAGGGTGCAGAGGTGTCAGCCTAGCCTTCCTCCACAGCACAGACCATGCCCAGGAGTAGAAAGAGCCTGAGTCTCATCCAACTGTCCCGGCTCCTCTAGCCAAGGAAGGGCCATGTCTTCAACACTTCCCTGACTCTCAAGCTCAGGCGCCACCTGCTGGTCGAGATCAGCACTGCAGCGGACCCAGAGCCCCAAGGGCAGTCAGTGGACCCAGGCTGAGACCATCCCCAACCTACCCCAGACCAAAGTCTCTTTGGGGGCTACAGAAATGACCCCACCTCTTAGAGTTCTGACTTCTGACTGCTTCCCAGAACCTGTTCTTCAATACTTAAGCCTAACATTTAAAATAAAAGGGACAAGTTTCTCTCTGATAATACTAGAAGACTCTACTAAGGCACAGATACAAACACATAGAAAAGTGACTTCCCAAGGACTTATGCCAAACAGAAGCTCTGTTACACAAGGGACAAAGCCCGAGCCGGAAGAAAAGAAGATCTGAGTCTCATCCTGTCCCTCACATGCCCCTCCCTTAGTTCCATGGTCCCCCCACCAGCAGCACACTCCACGGCCAATCCCTAGGCCAGGATGGTGCCCCTTGACTTGCCCTCACCTCTACACTGATGGCACTGGCTGCTGTCCAGGAATCTGGACTGACCCAGAACCACATGCAAATCATGGGGTCCAGAAGAGCTGTAACCTCTCCCTCATCCCCCATGCTGGGGACACCCCTCAGAGCCAGCCCCATCTGCCTGGGACAGGGATAGATCTGAGGACACTGGTGACCCTCCAAGACCTGTGCTGATGGGAGGGGTCCCCAGGAGGCACAGATGGAACCAATCAGTGCAAGCTGGAACACACCGGCCTCGAGCACCTATCTGGCTGCCCTACCCCCAACCCCGCCTCTCTTCAGTCTGAGATTTCAGGGCAGCAATGCAGTTTTTGTGCTCTGGGTGACCTCAGAGCCTACCCAAGGACTCAGACCTGGAAAAAAGTCGTGATGTGTCACAGGCTCGGCTTCCTTTAACCACATTCCTGAAACCAGGGGTGAAATGGAGGGTCCCAGGGCAGGCATAGAGCCCCAGATTCATGGGGCCGGCTCAAGTATCTTCCTGGGGATGGGGCTGCTCCCTGAGAAGTGTCATGGGAGGGGCTGGAGGAGGAGGGAAGTGTACAGTGAGTGACTTTCCCTGCCCTCACACCCCCACACCCACCTACCCTGCTTCCCACGTCCCCTTTCCCCTCCCTCCACCCACAGGCAGAGAAAGTGTGTCACAGGGAACAAACACCGTCTTCCCAGGAGGGGGAGGGGGAAGGGGGGAGGAAAGACTTGATTGTGTGCCTGTGGGGCCCACGGGGTAAGAAACCAGAGTTTTCTGAGCTTCCCAGCTGTGAGGGACACCCCCTCTGAGCCGTGACCTTGACATTAGCCTCCTCTTCTCGGAGGGCTTGAGACAAGCTGTGCGGCAGGAGCCACAGGCCACCAGGCTCAGAACTACTTGGCCAGGGTCCTAAAGAAGAAGCCCCGAAGGTGTAGGCAGCATCTTCCAGCCCGACATCCTTTGGCCAGCTGGGTGAGTCCACCATGAATGCTGACACCCCGAGCGTCCCATGTCGCTCTGCCCTGGCTTGGAGGAAGCCACTGACCTGCTCCTGCCTCCCATCCAGCTCTCTATAGACACGTCGGTCTCTAAGGGTTAATCTGCTGCCTTCCCTCTCTTGCCTCCACCCCCACGGAGCTGCCACATGCCAGCAACGATGCACTTCACACTGTTATTACAGTGATTTATTTAGTTTTAATTTGGGGGTGCATCTCGTGCTGTAGGAAGCAGGAGGCCAAAAGTCTTGGCAAGAAGTAAAGCCCCGCACGGGCTGTGGCAGGCCAACCCCATCCCCTCTGCCTGCGGCTCCTCCATCCTAACCCTGCTCTTCCCAGCCTGTGGGCTGCTCCTGACTCCGGCCCTAAATCAGGTTTACTCTTCACTCAATCTCCCCTGGTCCCTGGGAGGGGATGTTCCTCGGGAGGAGAGGAGTCCACAGAGGTTTCTGTGCTCACCTCCAGTGTGATCCAAGCCCCCTAGAGAGTCAGTTAATGAGGCCGGCTCAGGCCAGGCTCTCACTGAGGAGTGGGACATCTTTGGCTGGATGCTGGGCAAATGATACCAGCTCTACAGTAAAGGATTGACAGCTAGGGCCACCTCCATGCAGATCAGCAAAAATGGAACAACTGGTCTTTATGAAGCTCTGCCCCTACTCTCTGTCCAGCCCTTGGCAGCCTAAGGAAACTGTCACTCATCAGCTATTGATTCATTAAACAAACATTGCTGCCCACTATACACCGTGTACTGTTCTGGAACTATAGCCAGAAGTAAAAGGACCATCCTGGCCTTCATCCCCAAAGACCTTACAGCTTACAGTGAAACCAGTTAGACGCAACTGAGCAAGCCACAAGAGTACAAGTGGAGGGAGCAGAGGTGGGCAGAGGGTCAGAGAAGACTTCACAGGAGAGCTGGGATGTGGCCGAGGCACCCAGCATGTAGCGTAGTGTCCGGCATTTGGTAGTTGGATAGATAGATGGACAAATGGCCTAGAAACACAAGGAATCACTTGACAGGGGGAGAATGGGGTAGAGAGATTCCAGGCAGACAGAGACTGTGGCAAGTTGAAAGCAGACTGGGTGGACCTTGAAAGTCCTGCTGAAGATTCTATTTGGAGAAACTGGGAGGCATCAATGGTAATAAAATAATCTTAGGAAAGGCATCAGCTGATCTAGGCTCAACTTTGAGACTTTTTTGCTCAGAAAAATTCTAGAAGTTCCAAAGGATTCTCTAAGAGGAGAATTTCAAATTCAGTAACAGGTGAAGGGAGGAAAGCAGTTTTTTTAGTAGAACTCTCTGAGGTACCATGAAACTACAGCACATAATTTGGAAGATCAGCAACCTGCAGACAGCTGCTCCCACCCCACCCCATCCCCAAAAGCAAGATGAGCAGAACAGGCCAGCGAGGATCCATGCCACGTGCCCAGTCTGAGCTCCACACATCCTGCAGGTCACTGGCACGAGTCCAAAGGAATGCAACCAGGGCTGCGTACAGATGGGCCTTTAGCCCCTTTCTTTGGTTGCTCCAGGGGGTGAAATGAAGATCAGAAACATGAGGCAGATTTTAGCACTTAGGAGGAAGAACTTATTACAGTTGGAGATGACTGGCAATATATAGAACACATTACTTTGGGCAGCAGGTAAAACAGTAAGCTTCCTATCACTGGAGGTAATCAAGCAGAGGCCCAGAAAAGCCTAGAAAATCCACTGCTTTGAATATTTAGGACAGCTCACTGCTGGCAGCACAGAGCAGGGCACTGGAACCACTTACTAACTTTACCTGACTCTAAGCTTCCACATCTCATCCGCAAAATGGGGTTAATAACAGTGCCTACCCCATAGGTTTGCCATGAGGACTATGTGAGATAAGGTGTGGAAAAGAGCACAGCTGTCAGCATGAAGTAAACCCTCAATAACTGATAGATGTTATTAAGTTGAACCATATGAATCATATTAGCTCACAGGTCATAAATAGTCAAATACCAATTATTTCATATGGTCCCACTAATGTTTTTTACTAAAGGCCAGTCAGGTTCCTTCTAAGCTCTCTAATTTCACAACAAAAGTTTCTGTGGAGCGTGGTTCCTCCCACTGGTGGATCCCAGGGCCTGAGGTCAAGCAGCGAGAACTCTGCAGGAGGCCTCTTCAGAAGCATACTGCCCCGGGGCCCATCCCTCCCTGGCAGAGGTGGGTACCTCCTTGCCCAGGTCCTCGCGGATGACCTGGCGGACCTCCTGCATGCTGCTCTGTGGGGCCTGGCTGTGCAGCACCTTCAGCGTGCTGGTGTACTCCTCCGGCAGCAGGTAGTCCAGAGCCCCCAGGTGCTGGCCCACCTTGATGAACGTGCCCCGGTTGGCACAGCAGAGCTCACAGAGGCGCCTGGCGGAGCGAAGGTGCACCTGCAGGGAGAGAGGCAGGGCCAGAGATGTGAGTGTGTGCTGTCCGCTGGATGTCATTCTCCTTTCCTGCCCCCTCTGCTTGGAAACTCTGATTCACCGCCCAGTGTACACACACACACACACACACACACACACACACACACACACACTCTCTCTCTCTTATTCTCCTTCAGTTTCCTAGTACCCAGAGCAGTCAATTCCAACCTCAAATCACAACCAGCCTTCTCAGATGGCCCAATGCTTCTGATCTCTGTCTTTCCTTCAAAACTTACCTGGTCCAAGTCCCATTCCCTCAGAAACAAGCGTTCGTTCAAGGCTTTCAATCAATTCTAACCCACTGACGATTCATTCAAGGATACATTGAGTTCATGTATTTGCCATCCACCCCTCAGCCATACTGAAGCTACTATCTGTTTGGAGATGAACAATTTATAAAACATAACATGGTCATATTCGTTATTTGTTCGAATCCTTACAGCAGCCCAGGGAGGCAAGTGTTGGTATCTTTAAGGATAAGAAACTCAGAATTTTTGCTTATAAAGAAACAGCTAAAAAAATAACTAATAAATGTCAAGGAAGGTCTAGAAAACACTCTAAACTTAGGGCTCTTTAACTCAGCAAATTTTAGCATGGGTATCCTATTAACTGAAGGAAATCTTTCCGGGGGGGGGGCATCAGACACATGGAGTTGGCAGTTGGGCAGGCTGTCCAGGACAGGCCAGCCTTAACTTGCAGTCTGATGCCCACCTACCCTTACAGAGCGGGAGGTGGCCCTCATGGCCCCCAGGCTGGTCATCCCCAGTCACCACCCCAGCTCAACTGAAGGTCTTAGAATTTTGAGGGTCCTGCCTTGCTGGAGCTACAGTTCCTGAGGCAGGATGGGACCATGGGCACACACAGAAGACAAGGCAGCCCAGTGCCCTGTGGGAACCTGCTACCCTCTTCCACCCACAAAATCAACCAACAGAGTGAACATCTATGTTGGACTTATACTCTCTTCAGTGCTTTGAAGGATGCTGACGTAATTAAGTGCATGTTGGAGGCAATAAACCACATGAAGAGTTAAATAACAGTTGGCAACAAAGATGGAAGAAACGTTCAAAGATCCTACATAATTAGTTCCTGATTGAACCATATAGAAAACCATTACTTTAGAAATTAAGACGAGAATGCTGCAGCCCTGAACATCCTGGTCCCAGCAGCCAAGGAGCCCATCTACCCTTCCGGTCATAGCAGAGCGATACCCCAGACTCCAGGCACTCACAGGCTGTCCTGAGGCCCTCAAGGTCTCTGCTGGGCACTTCTGCCTTCCACCCCACCCAACTCCTGGACACACATGCACACATGACTGCATCCCCTTGGACAGAGTGCTCCAGCCTTGTTGTGGGTACCTGGTCCAAGCTGGGCCAAGGAGAGTTTTTCCCCCTGAAAGGAGGGCACAAGGAGAAGTGGTCATTATTTTTAACTTGCCCAATATCTCTGTAAAATAGCTCTTTAATATACGTCTTTAAAGATGAAGAAATCATCTCAGAGAGGTTCTGTGATATACCCAAGGTCCTAGAGTCAGTAAACAGTAAAAGGTAGATGTGTTCAACCATGTGCCAGGGAGCTGGCTTTTACTGAATTTCTCTACGTAAAAGCATTGTGGGATTGAAAGGAAGTATAACCACAATCCTCATGGGCAAGGAGCTTACAGTGTAGACTGAGAGGTGGATACACACTCATGAAACTAGAATCACCAATGGCAGGCAGTCAAGGTAGCCACCCAGTCACTCCCAGATGACAGGTGCTGGCGAGGACAGTAGGCTGGGCACCAGGGTGGCCGTGGATGTCAAACCAAGTGTATACAGTATAAAAGGCCAACACAAGCTGCAATTGGTCTTGATTAAAACAAGAAGGGGTCATAAAATCTAACAACTAATAGCAATGGCTTTAGAATCAAAAAGACCTGGGTTCAAATCCTACTTTGCTACTTTCTTGTCATGGAACCTTGGGCAAGTTAATTAACTGTGGAGCCTCAGTTTCCTCATCAGTAAAAGGAGGAGAAACATGGTAACTGTCACTGTGGTGATCAAAAGAAGCAATGCATAAAAAAGAACTTAGCACAGGGCTCAGCACATAGTTCGTGCTCAATAAATGAAAGGAAAAAGACAGAGGGGGGGGAATCAGTTTTCCTAGAAAACAGAAAACAAACAAACAAAAACACTCCGGGCCCATCCACTCCTTGTATTTTGTTCAGTCCAACAAGTCTGGACCACAATCTAATACACAGAAACAATAGCTAATTTCATGCTCTGTCATCTAAATTACAAAGCATCTGTGTATAAGCAACCAGCTATCGAATAATTTCCAAATACACCGACTTACGGTTCTCCTCCCCAAAGACTTCCCTACTTCTGCTATGTGATGAGGAAAACAATTTTTGAGAAAAAAATAACTTTGTTTTTCTGAGTTGCTGCCTAGGCATTTTACAGTATGACAACCCTACTCACCCGCAGGGTCTGGATATTTGGAGAAGGGTCTGAGTCTAGGATTCCGTCATAAGTTCCCACTTTACTTTTTCCAGGGTACCCTTTAAAGTAACCAGTTAGAAAAGTTTGTGACTTCTGCCCCAATCACCTTATAAGTTCAGCTGACCTTTGAACATCATGGAGGTTAACCCCCACGCAGTCAAAAATCCAAGTGTAATTTATAGTCAGCCCTCAGCAGCCAGGATTGGGCATTCACGGAGTCAATCAACCGTAGGTCATGTAGTTCTGTAGTATTTAGTTAAAAAAAGAAAACCAGCATTTAAGTGGACCCACACAGTTCAAACAGATGTTATTCAAGGGCCAACTGCAATAGGTGCTTGATACCCCCTAATTCCTGCTTGCTGGGGACCTGGGATGGAGGACTGCCCTTCCCCTGGCTCACTGAGCTCTCTCACTTCTGGGATCTGTACTTCTTCTGTGTGGGTGTATTTAAACCGGACTTTCCATCAAAAGACCCAGTGGGTTTCACTTCCCCAAAGTGAGAGTTTGGATGCTGAGGGAGATACCTGCTGACCCCAGGTAGGTGGCTTATGCCCCTTATTCAGCAGGTAATAATCTACATATTCATAATTCAATACACCAGCACTGGCTGCTCAACACATGCTACTACCCTAACATGGACCACTCATTTGCTCCCTGGACCTGAGTCCTATCCTTACCCAACACCTGGTTTCACTAGCTGGTTGGGTGTGTGACATCATTGCAGCATATCCTTACTGCAGAGCGTCCCCACTCCCCCTTCCATTCCTGCCAAAATATGGCAGGAACAGCTGGCACAGGCTCTCTGCCCCTCCTCCAACTTCATTTTCACTCCCAGCTCAATAACTTGCCTTATGATTATCTCATTACCAATAACCCTGTTGTAATGAGTTTTAATCTCCCTCATATTAATTAAAAGCATTGTCATTAGCCAGCTTGGTTTGGGCTTTGGGAAGGGGACAGTGAATAGATAATAAGATCAACTTAGTGCTGATGAATTATTGATTGGGAGGGATGGAGCAAAGGCCCAAGGAGGGCTATCCTTTACTTATGCCTAAATTCCGAACAGTAGAGGCCTTGGCCCCCAAATTTGGCAGAAAGGTACCAAAGCCAGACTAAATCAGTGGTGCTCCCATCAGAACTGAGCAGTATCTCCAATGGGGTTCAGGGGTGTGAGTGTGAGACAAAGACGAATGAGATAAATACACATACGTACCCTACACAGGAAGAAAGAGGCAGTGAAAGAGAAGATCAAGACAGACCCCAAAACAGACAAGCCCTTGACGAATTCTTCCAGTCAAAAACTCAGGACCCAAATGACATGCACTGACATGTAGACAGTGTTATGTCTGGGCTGTGAGATTACAAGAGTATTCTTTATAGGTTTTCCCATATTTTTCAAATTTCTTGAAACAAACATGTATTATATCAGTAACAAAGGAGAATTTTTTAAAAATAATCCCCTCTTCAACATCTTCTGGAAACAGAAAACTCCAGCTGACAAGACTCTGCCATGCAGACTGGACCAGGCTGGCGCAGAATCCAGCAGAATCTCTTTCCCAGTTTTGCAGGGTACTATGATCTATGTGTAACACCATTTTCATCATGAAAATGGAATTGTAACTCCTCCTTCCTCCCTGAGAAATCAGGCCAGGATGGCCTCCAAGGGTTCTTTTCTGGATGTCACTCTGCTTTAAGTTGTCATTTAAGCAACAAAGTGAAATTAACATACCATGTCTTGGGGGGAAAAAACAAGTTGCAGTTTATAAAAGTTTTGAAGGAGCTTGACCACAAATTTAATTCCACCTCTTAGGAGTGTCCTCTGTCTCTCTTTAGACCACATGTTGGGTCAACCCTGGTTAAGAACACAGGGTCAGCATCATATGGCCACAGCCTATATCCAAACTTTACCACTCAGGAGCTGGTGACCTTGGGCAAGTTATGTAACTTCTGTTTACTTCTGTCTGTTCATCTATAAAAGAAAGATAATAATAGTGCCTACCTCACAGGGCTGCTGTGAAGATTAAATGAGGTGAGACACTTCAGTTAGCTAGAGCCAGCATTTCTAGACTTGTTGTAAGGGTACCTAGAATTTGTCTCAAGGTATGGTAAGACACACAGACATGGAAATAAAGAAAGACTGTCATAAAGAAAGAAGTTTTTGCTAACAATTCCTTAAAAGCAGGAGAGTTGGCATGCCATGCAGGGCCACTCAGGGAAACACCAGGGCTGGTCAGGAGACAGAGGGAACAAGGGGAAATGTGGGCAGAGCTTTTATTGTGGATTCCATGGCAAAGAATGGGCAAGGCTTAGGAATGGCTAGTTTTAATTATTTCACTTGGCTTTGGAGCATAGGGGCTGTCCCTGGTTGTTTGGTACCTGGACCTGGGGAGACTAGGACAAGAGGATAGTGGCCTAGAGTGTAAGAGTCTAGTAACAGAGGTGGTTGGCAGGTATAGGCTCTGGGTTGATTGGTTTCCCTATGAAACA